GCCATAAAGCAATAAAAACACAAACTAAGTAAACTACTACTATTTTATAAATATCAAAAGAACTCTATGTCAATATAACAATCAAAATAAACATCCACATTTTAATACAGTTTATGAAATACTAGTAGGCCTATTGTCAATCACGTTCCGTATAGGGTACTATACGGAGCATGTGTCAGTTTTAAGTTTCTTCATATTTACACTTCTATACTAAGTATATGCATACAAAGTACTCGCACTTATTTTAGAATAAATGTTTGACAAAAGTGGGAAAACTATCGAGCATCACAAAAGGCTATTGTTTTTTGGATCCTATAAAATAATTGTTTGAGTGAATTGTTAAGATAAAGGTGGTATAAACCTATCGAGTATCACAAAAGGGTATTGGGTGTACATAATTACAAACAGTGAAATACAAGATGGTTTCATACTAGTATCGATTTTTACCCGTCAAACTTAACAGCCTGTATAGCTCAGTTGATTAGATTGCGGACTCATTTAACATAATTTTCTCGGCGTGGGTTCGATCCCTGATTGAAGAAGGTATTTTTTTTCATGAAACGCTTAAATTGAATTTCTTAAAGACTTTTCTAGATAAAATGAAGACGAACGATGCGTACATGTACATATATAGAGAAAATGTTTTGCTGAGTTATGATCACAATTCACTTACCAATACAATATAAGGCTAGCGTATTGTTAATCCCATTTAAGACACCAATAATGACCTCAATTATTGAAGATTAATAGTCGGCTAATGGATTTTACTGCCCCATGGGACTTTCCAATCCGCGAATTTTTTTTTTTACGGAAATAAAAAAAAACGCGGAAATAAATATTCGCGAATATGTCCGACCTCGGCAAAACGCAAAAATTTGTATATAAATTGGGTTACAGTAAGCTGTCAGTGTGGGCTTAAAAGTTAAAAGGTAATAACTTTACTCATTTAATCATGTTTTCCTTCGGAGATGTTGTTACAGTTGACTGGAGAATAATACATTTACAGTTGACTAGAGCATAATACCTTTACAGTTGACTGGAGGATAATACCTTTACAGTTGACTAGAGCATAATACCTTTACAGTTGACTGGAGCATAATACCTTTACAGTTGACTGGAGCATAATACCTTAACAGTTGACTAGAGCATAATACCTTTACAGTTGACTGGAGCATAATACCTTTACAGTTGACTAGAGCATAATACCTGTACAGTTGACTGGAGCATAATACCTTTACAGTTGACTGGAGCATAATACCTTTACAGTTGACTGGAGCATAATACCTTTACAGTTGACTTAATTATAATACCTTTACAGTTGACTGGATCATAATACCTTTACAGTTGACTGGAGCATAATACCTTAACAGTTGACTGGAGCATAATACCTTTACAGTTGACTGGAGCATAATACCTTTACAGTTGACTGGAGCATAATACCTTTACAGTTGACTTAATTATAATACCTTTACAGTTGACTGGATCATAATACATTTACAGTTGACTAGAGCATAATACCTTTACAGTTGACTGGAGCATAATACCTTTACAGTTGACTGGAGCATAATACATTTACAGTTGACTAGAGCATAATACCTTTACAGTTGACTGGAGCATAATACCTTTACAGTTGACTAGAGCATAATACCTTTACAGTGTACTGGAGCATAATACCTTTACAGTTGACTGGAGCATAATACCTTTACAGTTGACTGGAGCATAATACATTTACAGTTGACTGGAGCATAATACCTTTACAGTTGACTAGAGCATAATACCTTTACAGTTGACTGGAGCATAATACCTTTACAGTTGACTGGAGCATAATACCTTTACAGTTGACTGGAGCATAATACCTTTACAGTTGACTGGAGCATAATACCTTTACAGTTGACTAGAGCATAATACCTGTACAGTTGACTGGAGCATAATACCTTTACAGTTGACTGAGCATAATACCTTTACAGTTGACTGGAGCATAATACCTTTACAGTTGACTTAATTATAATACCTTTACAGTTGACTGGATCATAATACCTTTACAGTTGACTGGAGCATAATACCTTAACAGTTGACTGGAGCATAATACCTTTACAGTTGACTGGAGCATAATACCTTTACAGTTGACTGGAGCATAATACCTTTACAGTTGACTTAATTATAATACCTTTACAGTTGACTGGATCATAATACATTTACAGTTGACTAGAGCATAATACCTTTACAGTTGACTGGAGCATAATACCTTTACAGTTGACTGGAGCATAATACCTTTACAGTTGACTAGAGCATAATACCTTTACAGTTGACTGGAGCATAATACCTTTACAGTTGACTAGAGCATAATACCTTTACAGTGTACTGGAGCATAATACCTTTACAGTTGACTGGAGCATAATACCTTTACAGTTGACTGGAGCATAATACATTTACAGTTGACTGGAGCATAATACCTTTACAGTTGACTAGAGCATAATACCTTTACAGTTGACTGGAGCATAATACCTTTACAGTTGACTGGAGCATAATACCTTTACAGTTGACTGGAGCATAATACCTTTACAGTTGACTGGAGCATAATGCCTTTACAGTTGACTTAATTATAATACCTAACAGAAAATGCAAAATAATTCTGTTTTTGATAAATTCTTTATCAAACCAATACTAATTTTAAGTTAGCATATCAAGTTTTGAAATACTTGAACTTTAACGGTGCCTATACCATGTGACATTTTATGATCTGGGCATGGCAAAGACAACAATACAATAGATGACCCGGATTTATCTTCATCCATTACTATTTGAATATTTCATTATTTATGTGTAGCCTCTACAGAGTAGTGGCAACAAATAGGGATCACTTCTCAGTTTTCTGTCTGTCCATCACAAAATTTGTCTGGACAACTCAAAAACTACTGGTGCAATTTCATCCAAACTTTACAGGAATGATAGGTACCAAATCTTGTTGTGCATATTTTTAGCTCACCTGTCACAAAGTGACAAGGTGAGCTTTTGTTTTGTGATTACAATTCATCCGGTGTCCATCCGTAACCTTTTACTTAAACAACATCTGCTCATAAACCGTTGAGCCAATTTCATCCAAACTTGACTGGAATGTTCCTTATATATATATAGTAAACACTTAAGAAGCCTTCTTTTAAAAACGCAAAGAGCTAGAGCTAAGTTATTTGGCATGAAACGTTTTCAAGTGAGTGTCTACCAAGTTTGTTCAAATAACAGTCTTTGGGTCTAAATTGGCCCCACCCCAGGGTCATTGATTTTCCTAATATGTACATGTATATAGTAAAAACAAAAAACCTTCTTTTAAAAAAAGGAACTAGGGCTTAGATATTAAGCATGAAACATCTTCAAATGAGTGTACGATTGATTTTTTTCATTGATTTTCCTTATATGCATTTAGTAAAAACTTAAAAATCTTATTTTAATAAAACCAAAATAGCTAGAGTTTAGATATAAAGCATGAAAAATCTTCTAGTGAGTGTCTGCCAAGTTTGTTTAAATGAAAGCTCTTGGGTAAAAATTGGCCCTGCCCCAGGGGGTTATTGATTTTCCTTATATGTATATAGTAAAAACTTCCAAATAGCTAGAGCTTAGATATTAAGCATGAAACATCTTCTAGTGAGTTTCTATCATGTGTTTTAAAATAAAAGCCCAGGGGTCAAAATTGGCCCCACCCTACCCCAGGGGATCATTGATTTTCCTTATATACACATGTATATAGTTAAAACTTAAAAAATCTTCTTAAAAAAATCCAAAGAGCTAGAGCTTAGAAATGTGGCATGAAACTTCTTCTAGTATGTGACTACCAAGTTTGTTGAAATAAAAGCCCTTGGGTCAAAATTGGCTCCCCCCTATGGGTTCATTGATTTCCTTTATATGTATATAGTAAAACTTCTTTTAAAAAATCCAAAGAGCTAGAGCTTAGATATTCAGCATGATACATCATCTAGTGAGTTTCTACCAAGTTTGTTCAAATAAAAGCCTTGTGTCAAAATTGGCCCCCAGGGGTAATTGATTCAATATGAAATATGAACTTTGTGATATCAGTTAAACATTTAGATTTTATATCTGCTTTTAATAATATAGTTTACAGTATTTCTTGTTCCTTGTCATGGAGAGTTTTTATATTCAGGTGAGCGATTTCAGGGCCATCATGGCTCTCTTGTTGGCATTTTCCATTTCATTGTTTAGAATTATGGCCCTTTTATGAGTTTTAACTTTTTAAAGATTGCCGGGGCTTCTCCACTTATACCACTTATGCAATTAAATGAAACTTTACAGGATTGATCTATAGCTCAAGTACTTGCTCATAGTACAAGGGGTCTCGGGTTGAATGATTTTTGTCTGAGTTATGGCCTTTTAATAAAATTGGTGTTTTTTTTGTTTTTGTTGCTACACATAAGCTTGTCCGGACTTCTCCTCAGGATGGGGTCACTTAGTTTACATAGACTTCTATTATAAAAATGTTTTCAATATCTTCGTCTCTTAAAGTACAATGCCAGGGATAAGATATTTGGTATGTAGCATCACCTTATGATCATATACAAAAGATTTAAAATCATGCCACTGGGGTCTTAATTGGCCCTGCCTCAGTTGTCACTTACTTTATGTCGACTTATATAGGAAAATACATATAAGTCTTTGTTTTTGAAGCTACAACGCCAAGATATTAGATATCATATAAATCATGTCCACTCTGCCATGCCGCCACTCAAAAACAGGTTTTACTTGGTAGAGAGTTTAAAGTGATAATTGCATGAAAAATGGTCTCTGAACAATTAGTTTAAAAAAATTGATTTTGTTTGAAAAAAAATCTGGTGACAGTATTAGCTCCCTTAACAGCAGTAAAATCAAATATGAAAAATTGAAATTCAAAGATTCAGTTTGTTCTAGATAGTGTAATCAAGAAAGATAATAAAAGTACAGTTGTCCTTAAAATATGTAGGTTTATGATAATAAATCTATCTTTTTAATTGCAGGAGAAGAGCAAGAAGTTGTGGAGAAAGATAAGGAAGAGACGTTGATTAACGAGGTTTTTGCATTGAGGTCATTATTATATATTTTTAGCTCACCTGTCACAAAGTGACATGGTGAGCTTTTGTTTTCGCTTTTGGTCCAGTGTCCATCCAGCATCCGTCCGTCCGTAAACTTTTACTTTAAACAGCATCTCCTCAAAACTTCACAGGAATGTTCCTTTGGTAGCCAACTTTACAAATTATTCAAAGAATTTTTATTCCATGCAGAACTCTGGTTGCCATGGCAACCAAAAGAAAAAAACTTTAAAAATCTTTTGTTACAAAAAGCGAAAGAGCTAGAGCTTAAATATTTGGCATGAAACATCATCTCGTCAGTGTCTACCAATTTGTTCAAATAAAAGACCTGGGGTCAAAATTAACCCTGCCCCAGGGGTCTTTGATTTTCCTTATTTGTATAAAGTAAAAACTTAAAAAGTCTTCTTTTAAAAAACCCAAATAGCTAGAGCTTAGATATTAAGCTTGAAAAATCTTCTAGTGGGTGTCTACCAAGTTTATTCAAATAAAAGCCCTGGGGTCAAAATTGGCTTCGCCCCAGGGGGTCATTTTTTTCCCTCTTTGTATAGTAAAAACTTAAAAAATCTTCTTTTAAGAAACCCTAAGAGCTAGAGCTTAAATACTAAATATGAAACATCTTATCAAATATTTTTTATTATGCCACCGCAGCATCTGCGATGCGGTGGCATATAGCGATTCACCTGTGTGTGTGTTTGTGTGTGTGTGTGTGCGTGTGTGTTTGTGTGTGTGTTATATAGATTATATAGTGAACTTAAAAAATCCTCTTGTGAAAAACCACTAGACCAATTTCAACCAAACTTGGCAGGCTTGTTCCTTGTGTGAAGGACTTTTAAAGTTGTTCAAAGAATTTCAAAAGGAATTATGAGAATAAATTTAAAAAATCTTCTTGTAAAGACCCAAAAGGCCTAGAGCTTAGATATTTTGCATAAGGCATTGTCTCGTAGACCTCTAACAAGATTGTTCAAATTATAGCCCTGGGGTCAAAATTGGCCCCGCCCCGGGGTCATTGATTTTCACTATATGTGCATATAGTAAAAATTAAAAACACCTTCTTGTAAAGACCCAAAAGGCATCTAGCTTAGATATTTTGCATAAGGCATTGTCTGGTAGACCTCTACCCAGATTGTTCAAATTATAGCCCTGGGGTCAAAATTGGCCCCGCCCCGGGGGTCAATGGTTTTCCTTATATGTATATAGTAAAAACTTAAAAAAAAATTCTTCTAGCAATTGACAAATACTAGAGGTTAGATATTAGATATTTTGCATGAAACGTTGTGTAGTAAACCTCTAGCAAGATTGTTCAAATTATAGCCCTGGGGTCAAATTGCTCCCGCCCTGGGGGTCATTGATTTCAATATATACATATAGTAAAAAATCAAAAAATCTTTTTGTCTGAAGGTACAAGGCTTAGAGCTTTAATATTTGTTAAATAATATCATCTAAAGGTAATCTACCAAAGTTGTTCAAATTTTGCTTCTTGTGTCAAAATTAGCCCCGCCCGCGGGGGCCATAGGTTTTCCTTATATGTATATGGTAAAAACTTAAAAAATCATCTTCTCTAAATTTACAAAGGCTAGAGTTAAGATATTTTGCATGAAACATTGTGTAGTGAACCTCTAGCAAGATTATTCAAATTATAGCCCTGGGGTCAAAATTGGTTCCGTCCCGGGGGTCATTGATTTTCATTATGTACATATAGTGAAAAAATAAAAATATTTTTGTGTGAAGGTACAAGGCATAGAGCTTTGATGTTTGATATATAATATCATTTATAGGTCCTCTACCAAAGTTGTTCAAATTTTTTCCCTGGTGTAAAAATTGGCCCTGCCCGTGGGCAATGATTCTCATTATGTACACATAGTAAAAACAGAAAATAAAACAAATGTTTTATGAATGGGAGAAAGCTATAGCTTAGATATTTGACTTGAAATGATGTTTGGTGGACCTGTATCAAGATTGTTTTGAATTAAACCCTTGGGTCAAAATTATGCCTTGCACGAGGGGACAATGACCTACTTTCTTGTCCTTTGATGTACAACAATGACATTTTGACCATGTGCACAGTTTTAGTTGTAAAATTGAACTTTGATATCAGGTGACCTAGATTTTGATGATGTGACCTACTTTCTTTTCCATGAACAGCTATGAAATTTGAACCATGCGGTGGCATAGCATTTTTCTCAAATGCAATCTTGTTAAATTTCTATTAAAGATCAGTTATATTTTGCTCAGGCAGTCTCAACTGTAATATGTCTTAACTTTCCAATTTTACAGGGACAGTGAGGACGGTGTGAATACTAGCCAATTTTCTTTAAAGGCAAGAGACTTTACAACAATTTGATTTCACTTCTTAAAGAAATTTAATTCTGAAAGATCAATAAGAAATTTATAAATGTTATATGTGCTTTTATTAATACTGACTGGGGGGATGAACCCATAATAATAATAATTGGGCCAATGTATCTGTGCACTTGCTGGTCTGGATATAGAGATTACATTAGCTGAGACGTTTTATGCCTGTTCTTGGTACAGTGGTGGTCAGGAGTCAACAGTACTGTCCTAGGCATCATGTCCTAGTTAGTGACACCCTATTAATATTTTGGAGACATAATGTTTTTGCCTTAACTGTCTGTCTGTGCCTCTGTATGAGGTTAACCTTAAATGGCAAGTTGGATTTTTATCTCACTTGTCACAAAGTGACATGGTGAGTTTTTGTGATTGCTTTTCTTCTGGTGTCCGTCCGTCTCTCCATCCATAAACTTTTACTTTAAACGACATCTCAAAAACAGCTGAGCCAATTTCATCCAAACTTCACAGGAATGTTCCCTTGGTAGTCAAGTTTAAAAATTGTTCAAAGAATTTAATTCCATACAGAACCCTGGAAAAAAAAATTAAAAAATCTTCTTTAAAAAAACCAAAAGAGCTAAAGCTTAACCATTTGGTATGAAACATCATCTAGTCAGTGTCTACCAAGTTTGTTTAAACAAAAGCCCTGGGGTCAAAATTGGCCCTGTCCCTGGGAGTCATTGAGTTTCCTTATACTAGGGTTGTTCAAAAAGTAACAGGACTGCAGCTGTACTGCTCACATTTTTTAATTAACGTGCACAATTTTACAAGAGACAAATATCAGAACATGTTATCTATATACAGTGAAAAAATCAATACAAAATGTTGATAAATAAAATTTCTTTGTAAGTGAAAACTATCTATCACATTATATTATAGATAAAACCATTTATAGAAAAACAGCCGGTATCTTCAAGTTTTAAAGGAAGAGCTATAGATGGTACTGATGAGGAAAAGACCAAGATGATTAAAAAACTTCAAGGTATTTCTATGTTTTATACATATTGCTTTTTTATGCCCCCTGATTTTTCTTAAGTTTTACCTGTAACAATGGCTTCATAATATACACACTTACTAATCAAAACAAAGAACATGATCTAGGCAAGTTACATAACTATGGCTTTTATTATGCTCCCTGAAAATTTCGGGAGGCTCATAGTCGCCGTCCTGAATTCGTGTCCAGCCCATAACTTTGTTATTTGAAGTCAGATTTTACAACTATTTCACAGAAATGATCACCATATTGAGACATCGTCTCTCGTGCAACATTTGGGTTGCTACCTTGAAGGTCAAGGTCACAGTATGACCTTGAAGCAAAATCGTGTCCGGCCCATAACTTCGTAATTTGAAGTTGTATTTTACAACTATTTCACAGAAATGATCAACATATTGAGACAACGTATCATGCGCAACATTTGGGCCGCTACCTTGAAGGTCAAGGTCACAGCATGACCTTGCAGCAAAATCGTATCCGGCCCATAACTTCAATATTTGAAGTCGGATTTTACAACTATAACACAGAAATGATCACCATATTGAGACGACATCTCGCGCGCAACATTTGGGTCGCTACCTTGAAGGTCAAGGTCACAGAATGACCTTGAAGCATTAACAAAATCCCTCCCGGACAAAAGCAAAACAAAAACAAAAAATGACAAGGCGGACAAAAGCCCTCCCGTGAAAATGACAGGGCGGAAAAAAGCCCTGCCGTGAATATAACAGGGCGGACAAAAGCCCTCCCATGAAAATGACTGTGCGGACAAAAGCCCTCCCTTGAAATTAACAAGGCAGACTAAAGCCCCCCCCCCCTCCCCCCCTGAAATTAACAAGGCAGACTTAAGCCCCAGCTTATGGCCATGGAAAAAAAAATCATGATGTTGAGTGCATTAAAAGGAAAATATAAACTATTCAACATACATATATGTATTGCTGCGTGGGGGGGGGGGGGGCTTTTGTCCGCCCTATTATTCTCACGGGAGGAGTGGGGGGGGATTTTGTCTAACCTATTATTTTCAACAGGAGGGCTTTTGTCGGCCAATCATTTTTACGGGAGGGCTTTTGTCCACCCTGTCATTTTCACGGGAGGGCTTTTGTCTGCCTTGTCATTTTCACGGGAGGGCTTTTGTCTGCCTTGTCACTTTTTGACGGGAGGGCTTTTGTCCGGGAGGGCTTTTGTCCTACACTCGTCCAGCCCATAACTCCATTATTTGAAGTCAGATTTTACAACTATTTCACAGAAATGATCAAAATATTGAGACGACGTGTCGCACGCAACATTTGGACTGCTACCTTGAAGGTCAAGGTCACAGTATGACCTTGCAGCAAAATGGTGTCCGGCCCATAACTTCGTTATTTGAAGTTAGATTTTACAACTATTTCACAGAAATAAGTGTCACATGCAAGTCAGTAGATAGATCTCATTGAGTAGAAATGCAGTGCAAAGAACAGTAGCTCTGCCTTGCTTATGTTTGGAATTATCACACTTTGGACATAACTCTGAAACTACGTAAGATATACTTTTCTGTGTCCAAAACCTAGTCTGGTAGCATCACCTGCTCTTGTTTTTACCAAGTTAGGGCCCTTTTCAGCACTTTGAAAATGAATATGGTTAACCTAAACCGGCAAGTTGGATATACCTTAAGTTCTTCCTGTACTTATGACTTTATAATTTCCACACTTACTTATCAATACAAAGAACATGTGATTGCCAAGTTATATGTCTGTGCCATCTATTTTTATGCTCCCTGAAGGGTGAGCATATAGTTGCCGCTTTGTCTGTCCGTCCATCCGCATTTCTTGTCCGGGACATAACTTTGAAACAACAAGTGGTATCAACATGGAACTTCATGGGTAGATAGATCTCATTGAGTGGGTGTGCAGTGCACAAGAACCGTTACTCTTCCTTGCCTAATTTTTGAATTATTGCCCTTTGTTTATTTTTATTCTTTGAACTTTGTCCGGGACATAACTCTTAAAGTATAAGAGGTATCAACATGAAACTTTGTAGGTAGATAGGTCTCATTGAGTAGGTATGCAGTCACTGGGGCATATAGTGTTACCCTGTTCAGTCCTAAGTCCGTCATTCTGTCATTCCGTCATCATCAGTTTCTGTTCATTATCTTAGTAACAGTTGCACAAATTCAACTCAAATTTGACATATGGATATGATATGAGAAAATACAGGTCAAGTTTGAATTTGGTCATGGTTCGATGGTTTTTGGCAGAGTTATGCCCCTTGCACTTTGAAAATAATATGAAATTTTCAGTTTCTGTTCATTATCTCCCCAACGATATTACACATTCTACTTAAATTTGACATAATGGATACTTCAAATGAATGCGCAGGTCAAGTTTGAATTTGGTCATGGTTCAATGATTTTTGGCAGAGTTATGCCCCTTTCACTTTGAAATTAAAATGAAATTTTCCTTTTCTGTTCATTATCTCCCCAACAGTATTACAAATTCAACTCAAATTTGACATATGGATACGTTAAAGGAATGCGCAGGTCAAATATGAATTTGGTCATGGTTCTATGAATTTTGGCAGAGTTATGTCCCTTTCACTTAGAAAATAATATGAAAGTTTCAGTTTCTGTTCATTATCTCTTCTAGGGTGTTACACATTCAACTCAAATTTGACATATGGATATGTCAAAGAAATGCGCAGGTCAAGTTCGAATTTTGTCATGATTTGAGGATTTTTTGCACAGTTATGCCCTTTTAACTTTGAAAAAAAAAAAGAAGGAAATTTTCAGTTCCCATTCATTATCTCCCCAACAGTTGTACATAATCAACTCAAATTAAAGATATGGATATGTCATAAGAATGCATTGGTCAATCATGGTTTGATGATAGCTGACAGAGTTATCCCTCTTGAACTCCGAAAATCAGAAATTTTTAGTGTCTGTTCATTATCTCCCCAATGGTTGTACACATTCAACTCAAATTTGACATATAGATACATCTTAGGAATAATCAGTTCAAGTTTGAATTTGGTCTTGGTTCAATGATTCTGGACAAAGTTATCTTTTTTGAATGTTGGAAAAATTTTGAATTTTCAGTTTCAGCACTCATACTTTTGTGGAAATGTATGTAGCCATTATTTTGGCTACTAATATGCAATATGCAATTTACAAAAGGTTAACACTGAATAGTTTCAGTGCCTTGAACTTTGTATAAAAATGGTTTATGTTAACATTGAATAGTTTTAAGGGCTTTGAACTTAAAATGAAAAAAAAAAAAATTGTGCAAACAATTTTGGAACTAAATATTATAACATCTGAAATTTTGGCTGCATGCAGGAGCATCTGTGGCGTGAGTTTATTTCTTAAGGGATCAACTTCATACTTCAAATATATATTCCTTATCATTAACCACATCTTATGTGACAAGGTTCATAACTCTAGAACCAATGTTGCAAGAATTATCTCCCCATTAACTTAGATTTTTTTACTTGAAAAATGTTATTTTTTACTATTACTTCTTTAGTTTTAAAGGCATCTACCTCAAACTTCAAATACATATTCCTTATCATCAATTACATCTTATATGACAAGGTTCATAACTCTTGAAGCAATATTTTCAAATTTTTCTCTCTTTGAACTCAGGATTTTCTTTAAGAAATATTATAACTTCTTTATTTTTTATATGCCCGAAAAATTTTTGGGCATATTATGTTATACCCCCTAACATCCGTCCGTCTGTCTGTTCATATGAACCCAGAGGTACTTGTGTGACTTAGACAACAATGGGTAACAGTAAATTCTCTTTGATCCTATTCATTCCGTTTTTACTTGTGTGTCTTTTTTTAAGCCTTGTGTGACTAAAAATGGCCAAAAAGATCAAAGGAAAAGTCACATAAGTACCATTTTGTGAGTACGTCCCTCCGTCCGTTAGCAATTTGGTTTCCGGAGCATTTGGCCCACAATATTCAAACTTCATAGGATGATTGTCCATATTAGGTAGAAGACCCCTATTTTTTGGGGGTCACAAGGTCAAAGGTCAAGGTCACTATCACCTTAAAACTGGAAACAGTTTCCGGAGCGTAACCAAGTTCTGTTTGGCCCACAGTGTTCAAACTTCATAGGATGATTGTCCATATTGGGTAGAAGACCCCTATTGATTTTGGGGTCACAAGGTCAAAGTCATTTCACCTTAAAACTGAAAACAGTTTCCAGAGCATAACTTAAGTTCCTTTTGGCCCACAGTGTTCAAACTTCATAGGATGATTGTCCATATTGGGTAGAAGACCCCTATTGATTTTGGGATCACAAGGTCAAAGGTCAAGGTCACTATTACTTTAAAACTGAAAACAGTTTCCAGAACATAATTTCTATTTGGCCCATAGTGTTCAAACTTCATAGGATGATTATCCATATTGGGTAGAACACCCCGATTGCTTTTGGGGTCACAAGGTCAAAGTTCAAGGTCGCTATTACCTCAAAAATGAAAACAGTTTCCAGAGCATAACTTAAGTTCAATTTGGCCCACAATATTCAAACTTTATAGGAGGATTGCTATTTGGAGGAGGTAATACTTTATTTAATTTATGTAATGTCTTACAAATGCTTTATCCTTACTAAAAAAAACAACACTTTCGGGCATATAATGCTTGGCCTAGCGGTGCACTTGTTAAGTTATCTACTTCAAATTTCAAATATATATTTCTTATCATTAAACACATGTTGTGCAACAAGGTTCATAACTTTAGTGTGACTTTTTCTAAAAGTTTCCCCCCCCCTTGGACTTTGAATTTATGTTTACAACAATAACTTCTTGTCATAAGAAGAAATATATTTATAATATAATTTATTTTTCTTTCTTAGTTTTGCCTTCCTTACTGTGTCCAGTATTCAATTAGTCGAGCTTCCCTGCCACCTGTGACAGCTCTTGTTGCTCATACAGTTATTAAGTTGATGTCTTTCATGTTTAATACAAACATGCCACAGGAGGTCCTTGTTTGGATTTAATTATGGGTCATTT